ACCATATCCAGTGTAATTTTCCCCCTTGGTTTGTGTGTATGACAGTCCACACTGTCAATGTAGCCTAGTCTAGACCAAGTGCTGGAATTACAGGTATATGTCTCTATACTCTGCTATTTTTATTTAATTTTGCTTGATTTACATTTAAACTGGATAGCCACAGTTGATTTGCATCTGCCTTATGAAATAAAGCCAGACATTGATCAGACTGGAAGATTTTTTTGGTTGTTTTGTTTGGCAAGTCTTCCCTATGAATGATAATTGATCTAGCTGTCCCTTTTTGTGATGTTTAATAGTCACTGTTCATAATTGCCTAAATGCATTAGTTCACTAGATACTGCAAAATGGTAATATTTAATTCCTATTACTTTTTAATTATAGTTGCTAGTTATGGAGGAGACAAGTGGCTAAATAATTTTCTCTACCTTTGGATAATAGAAAAAGATTCTCAACTTGGTACTTTTCCTGATTATTTCCCAAATTAACCAAATACTGTTACAAGAAATGTTGCCTCAGAAGCTGGGTGTGTAATGCTAGCACTCTAGACACTGAGGCAGGAGGACCCAGAATTAAAACCAGCCTGGGCTATATATAGTGAGACCAAGTGTGTAAAACAGATCTTACCTTATCTTGATCTAGAGCTTTCCAAGGGTGCCCTTTATAAAACACAGTATTCCAGAAAACTGGTACATCTAGAAGATGATACTTTTATCCCTTCTTTCTTTAAAAAAAAAAAAAGTCTCAAAGGTTTTTGACCCCCCTTTTTTTTTCTTGACCAAATAGATTTTCTCCTCAAAAAGTGAATCCCGACTGAAACACCTGCTGCAGAGAGCCCCAGATTACTGCCCAGAATCGATGGTGAGTCTTATGTCACTGTGACAGTGTTTGGATACATGAAGTCATCAGCTGAGTTACTTTTAGATTTATCAGATGTCTGAAGTGTGGTTGGAATGTGTGATCAGAATAAAATTTTAAACCTAAAATAAACTGCTAAATAGATTAGTGTCTTTCACTGCTCATTGTCTATTTTAGGGCCTAGGTATACAAATAGTCTTACATATAAATGTATTCTAGTCTTTTTTATAATTTACTTATTCTTTCAAATTTCATTTTACATTCCAACCACAGTACTCCCTCCCACCATTCTTCCTTCTCCCCCTCGCCTCCTCGACAGCCCAACCCCAGTCTACTCCTCCTCACCTGTAAGGACTCTCATGAGGAGTCAACAACTCCTCTCATGAGGAGTCTGGCACAGTAGGTTGTGGGCAGGGCTGGCCCCTCTCCCATTCATTAATACTGAGCATGGTTGGAGCATTCCCACCATAGGGAATGGGCTCCAACAAGGTAGCTCATGTACCAGGTTTGTATGATGATTTTACTGCCAGGGGCCCTTCTGATAGTCCAAGTTTCACAACTTTCTCCCACATATGGAAAGCCTAGTTTGGTCCCCTAGAATCTCTACCAATGTCAGTCTAGAGTTCATGAGTTTCTACAAGCTTGGTTCAGCTGTCTGTAGATTTCTCCATCACGATCCTGACCTCCCTTGCTCATATTTTCCCTCCTCCCTCTTTGCCTGGGTTCCTGGAGCTAGTCCTGCTTCTTGGTTGTGGATCTCTGTGTCTGGTTCCATCAGTTGCTGGATGAGGGCTCTATGATGATAGTTGGGGTATTCACCAATCTGATTACAGGGGTAGGCCAATTTAGGCATCCTTTCTCTATTGCTAAGAGTCATAGCTAGGGTCATCCTTGTGGATTATTGGGAATTACCCTAGCACCAGGTTTCTTCCTAACCCCATAGTGACTCTCTGTATTAAGATATCTCTTTTATTGCTCTTTCACTGCATTCCCCACCCACCATCCCGTTCCCTCACGTTCTCATCTCCCCTCCCCTCTCCCTTACCACTCCATCCTGTCCCCAGTTACCCAGGAGATCTCATCTAATTTCTCTTCCCTGGGTCATCCATGTGTCCCTCTTGGGTCCTCCATGTCACCTGGCTTCTCTGGAGCTGTGGGTTGTAGTCTGGTTCTCCTTTGCTTTACATCTAATGTCCACTTATGAGTGAATACACACTGTGTCTTTCCAGTGTTTGAATTTCACTGTAGTATTTCATCTAGAATTTAGAATTTTATCACTGATTTGACTAGTTTCATGAAATCTATAATAACTAACCTGTATGTTTATTTGAATTTTGGAGAGTTGAATTTGAGATAAGGGGAAATATGTGGCTTATTGTTAGTGCTCCATTCCCTGGTTCACTATTATTGATACACTGCTTGACGTTGCATCAGGAAGTCTGTGTCTCCAGGATTTGGCCTAGTTTCATTGTTTGGAATGTGTGTGGGCCAGGCCAAGAGAGCACAAGCTCCTGTGAGAGAACTTCTTTAGATATAGTGGCCTCTGCTGTGTGGAAGGGGGAAGAAGCCGAAGGTCAGGCAGTTCTGACTTTGTTTCCTTACGTTGCTCAGAAGACACTTTTTGTGAGCTTGGAAATGGTAACTTTAGTAAATAACCCAAGTAACCTGGCTCATTGGTAGTACTTCTAAATGGAAAGATAAGAAAAGCATATGCAGTAGTTCTCATTTTTATACTTTGTGTGTGTGTGTGTGTGTGTGTGCGTGCAGATGTGTGTACACCATGGCAAGTGCATTGAGATCAGAGTACAATGTGTGTAGGTCCACACACATGACAGTCCAAGGGTCCCAGGGATTGACATCACCCTTTACGAACTGAACCGTCACACTGGCTCAGTTTTTATTATTATTTTTAAATATAGATTTAGCCCTAGGATATTAACTATATGGTCCCAGCCATAATTCAATTAACTGTGCATAATTTCTGTAGAAATTATCATGTATAGAAGCTAGTTATTTGCATAAAAGCATTTTGGTGATTACAATTTCAGGTTGAAATTTGGAGTTGTATGAATTCATCTTTGCCAGGTAAGTAAACTTATTTTATTAACATAAAATTTGTACCATAGTCCTAAATCTGATTTGTATGTAGGATTTTAAAAGTGATGTGTTTATTTTTGCATTGTATGAGTGCATGTGCACACATGCATGTGCATGTATACTTGGACACACGCACACCATGGCACCTGTGTGTTCAGAGGACAGCTTTTCAGGAGTTAGTACTCCTCTTTTTGCCTTGTTGGGGCCGGTCTTCTGCCTTATAGGCAGGGTGAAACAGCAACACATCTTTTCATAATTAAACAAATGCAGCATAAACAAATGTAACACACCTTTACACAGTTACAGTAAAGTTCTGTATCAAAAACAAATCTGACACATCTTTACATAGTTAAATAATATTCCAGAACAGTTGTGCTCTTTGACTTTCCTGTAACACGTGATTTTATTGACTACTACCTTCTTATTATAGTACCCTGTCTTTAGACCTGAGGCTCTTTCCCCTGCTTCCTCTGCCTCTTAAGGACCATGGTTGTTGTAACATGCAGAACTCCCCATCCTCTCTCCACACTAGTGAGTGTCTGAATACCAGGAAAGGAAGCAAATGAAACCAAATAATACAAAGTCATTTTGAATGATTCGGTGTGCCCATCAAAGCCAGGACTGACTCATAGAAACTGATCCTTCATGTTTTCTGTGTATCAGTTTTGAAATGAGATGAGTTATATGCTATTTTACATATTTAATTATTTTAACACAAAACATAAACATGCTCTTTTTTTTTTTTTTTTTTGCCTGTTTGCTTAAATTGTATCAGAATATTTGTATGTGATTCACAGAATAAAATAAGGAAAGGCCTTTCTTCCCGGCTTTCCTTACTTTGCATGTCTTCTCATAGACATGCTGTTTACCCAAGATTGAGAATGACCAAGCGTGGGGTGGACAAAAAAGGATAAAACCAAAGGGCCTGATGATTATATAGTGTGGTACCTCAAGGAAACTGACATCATTGGGGGTAAAGACCAGAGGAGGTACATAATTGTTTTGAGACCCTGCTGTCTGAATTAGTTTTCTCATAGACACTTAGTTTGCCTTGTAATAATATCTATTAGTTTTATATACTATTTGTCCTCATTGATACTTAGACCAAAACATTTGAACATTTTGTTTTTCAGGTGTATTTAAGAAGTCCGATGGTTGGGTTGGCTTAGGCTGCTGTGAACTGGCTATTGGCTTGGAGTGTCGACAGGCGTGCAAGCAGGTAACACCTGACAACCAGATTTTTAAGCATCTTGGAGTACAGTTTGAGTTTTAGCTGTACAGTTTTGAGGCCTTGTCTACTTCATAGCTTTGGAGAGGTGACTTACAGAAATTGCACATTTAGCATTATGCTTGTGTCTCAGTTGAGACCACTTCATGTAAAATCTTCAACCTTCTCTTACTATTTGCCTGTCTTTTCTCAACTTTATTTATGTGTATGGTGTTTTGCCTGCTTGTATGTCTGTGTACCATATGTGTACCTGGTGCCTGTGAGGCCAAAGGAGGCATCAGATCCCCTGGAACTGAAGTTACAGATGATTGTGAGCCAGCGTGTGGGTGCTAGGAATTGAACCTGTGTCCTTTGGTAGAGCTGCCAGTGTTCTTAGCCACTAAGCCATCTCTCCAGTCCACTGCGTACAGAAGAGTTTATTGGGATCAAGGCATTTTGTCCTTTGTACAGGACATGCTGAGTAAGTGTAGCTCCAAATGGTCATGTAAATCTAGGTTATTGTTGGATGAAAGCAGTAACACAGTTGGCTTATTTTGTTTTTGTCTTTCCTCTCATTTTCACCATAGCTTTACTTTGAGCAGGTGCCCCATCTTTGCTCTGTTCTGAAGCACATGGTAAGCTGTGGTTTCTCTTTAATAGGTGTATCTCTGCTACAAATTCTGGTAGACCCCTGAGTTCTTCACTGCATGTTTTTTAGGAGTTTCTCAGATTAGTAACATTGGCTTCCTAGACTCTCTATTCCAAGTGGTGGATGTGCACTTAACTGGGAAGCTAGCTGTCTGTTTAAATGGTTATTTAAATTAACCTGTAAACATAGTTTTGTCAGAACTGACAAAAATCACTTTAGAAGCTTGTTCTAAAGACCATATGTGAGATGCTGATGTTACCTTCACTTCTGTTGCTGAAATTTTTGTTTGTTGTTTTTGTGAAAGGGTCTTTGTGTAGCCCTGGCTGTCCTGTAACTCGCTCATGGAGACCAGGCTGGGCTCGACCTCACAGAGATCTAC